TGTATCTTACCTCATGTAGGAAAACCACACCATAAAATATGAAGAAAACATTAAAAAAAAAAGATCTGAACCCTGCTCTATCCTGTGCCATCCTCAAATTTATTGACATACAAGAGCCCATTGCATCATTCCCGTGCCAGTCCACCTAGTCGAGTGTCTTCCTCTCCTTCACCAATCTTCCACCCTTCCCAGGATCTTGTCCTTCTCCAAGGAATAACCTCTCCTAACAACATGCCCAAAATATGTGAGGCAAAGCCTCATCATTCCTACCTCCAAAGCAGCACCCTCTCCATGACATATCTGTTCTTTCTCTTGGCTATCCGTGGGATATTCAGTCACTCAGACATAACTTATTCTGTCATCCTTATTCATTTTCTAGCTCTTAGATGCATAGCAAGTAATCAGAATGACCAGGGCCTGAATCAAACACAAAGAAAAACTGAAATAAATGATATAATAGTAGATTCGTTAAAGAAATTAATGCTAAGTGGTTATGACGCAGTGGGAGAATTCTTATCCTGCAGGTGACTGGAATATGATTCCTGGCCAGTATACCTCAGCTGCAGCCACCATTCTGCTGTCACTAGAGTCTTGAGAGTTACTTTGATGTTGAACGACTTTCGGTGGACCTTCTAGACTAAGATAGAGTAGGAAAAAAACCTAATTGTCTACTTCTGAAAATGAACCATTCAAAACTCTGTAAATTGAAGCAGTCCTTTCTGTAAATTGAGCACAGAGTGCGTAGCGGTGCACAACTACCACCAGTGCTGGAGTTTCCCTCCTACTCCCATTTAATACCAGCATTTTTTATTAAAAATAAGTAGAAAGTGATGGATTTTAGCAAGTTGATAGCGGAAAATATGGCAGACATTCATAGGAACATCAGTATCTATTAGTATTTTTTCATAGTTCTTGTTTCTTTTTTTATTTTATCTCTTTTAAAAACAGTTGTCATGGTTACATACTTTTTTTTTACTCTCTAATGTTTATTAATACTGTTTTTGTTGTGCTCCTCCTCCTTTCCCGTTCTTCCCACTCTCATCCTTTCTCTTCCCCCTCCCTCTCAGGACATTTATACACACCCTACTAGTCATACTTCTATTTTTGTATTTGTGGACTTACACTGCATTTATCTTTGTGAGACTGAGTTAGTGCAGTCAGCATAATGTTCTCTAGCCTCTCTCATGTAGTTTTTTTTCACCATTGCTCTTGAGTGCTGCATAGTATTCCATTGTGTGAATGTACCAAAGTTTTTTTATCTAATTGTTTGTTTATCTAAACATTTGGGCTGTTTTCACATTGTTGTTGTGAATAACACTGCTATGAACATCATTGTACAAATCTACATTTGTATCTCAGTTCTATTTTCCCTGGGGAATAGCTAGGTCATATTGAATTTCTATGTTCAGGGTCTGTTTGAGGAAATGCCAAACTGTCTTCCTGAGTAGTTGATATTTTTAACACTGAAAATATATTTTAGTGATTCCATTGTGATGTGTTTCCATTTTATAGTGCCTTGCTACATGGGAATCTTTCCTTACATCACAGACTGACTTCCATTTGGAAGAAAACTCTGAAGATAATGCTTAATCCCATTGAAGACTTACTTTGGGAGACAGCATCTATCAACCAAAGTTATTCTTTCTGGATGAGTTGTGTCTTCTAAAATGTTTTACAATATCTGGAAAACCAACAACTTGAAAACTCAGGTATTCCAGGTCAATGACACAAATTTGAGTATATATTAAATATATATGTATATAAATATTTAGCTTAGTTTTAACTGTCTTCTTACTTTTTTGTGCCAATAATTGCATATGGAAATGTCCTCCCTTGAGTATTTGTCTGTGATATATCATTTAAATATGTTGTAAAGAAACTGTTTAATAAAAATATTTAATAAAAAATTTCTGTCTGCAGTATATTCTTTACTACCAGTATTGCAAAGCACTGAATTCAACTCAGTTCATTACCATCTAGTCAGAACTGACTCATAGCTGACCCTCCGCCAATATTGTAGAGGTCGTAAATCATACAGGAGGAAATTGCTCCTCTTTGTCCCTCAGAGCACTTGATGGATTTGAACCACCTGTCTTTGGATTGGCAGTACATCTTATGTACTAGACCACCAGAGCTCCATAGGTAAAACACTGAAGTAGATTTTAATATTAATTCAACATTGGATGGTACAGGATTATGCATTATTTCATTCTCTAGGACCTGGGGTTGCTTTGAATCAGAGCCACCTTAATGGCACCTGGCGAAAGGAGTATAGGCAGCATGAGGATAGCCATATCTGACTTCATATAACTCCACAAAGGGGAACTGTCCCCATCAACAATATCCACAGTACAAGGCTAATTCCTTTACGGTCAGACATTGTCTCCCACACCCCTACACATTCCAATATCAATCTTACCGCTTTGCTGGGTCTGAAATCCATTGCAGTGACTACACAGACTTTCCAGAATCATAATTATGGCTGTTGGGTTTGTTAGGGAAGTTAAAAGTCTATAATTCATGTTGATAGAAGCATACAGCCCCTCATTATAGAAAGCAAGCTTTTCAAGCATGGTCACAGAACTTTTGATCTTCAGCCTCACAACTTAGGTCACTGTTACAAAGTTCCCTTGTATGCTGCAAGTTATGGTATATTCCCCCAGTCCTCCAGCAAGTTTGGGTTGAAGGCCTTTAGCTCTGGCTCCATGGGACAGCAATGTCAAATCAGCGCTGTCTTATGTCGGGCTCTGGTTCTCTGTTGAAGCTGATGTTCTCCAGATACTGGTCTGGCTGACACAAGAATTGCTGGCACCAAAAATACCTTACTTCCTCTTCCTTGTTGGTGTTGAAATTCCCAATATCTGCTACTGAAATTGCTTATTTGGACATTGGTAGATGGTGAGACTAGCCATTTCCCTTGTAGATAAACACACCCTATTAATATGGCCCTGCCCATCAATGTGTCAAATTCAAATCAATGCCTTGGAAGGCCATTGTGATGAACCCTTGATACCACAGCACCTAGGAGCAATAGCATGTATTAGTATGTACAACAAATCTTTATTCTACAGATTCAACCAATACTTGAGGTGAAGGGAATCAATTTCAAGTGGTCATAGGAAACTAAAAAGCTTAGAGGGATCTTAGCATGCTGTTGTAGAAGTTATAACTAATACAGAAATGACTAAAGTATAAGGAAAGATGTTCATTGTTTATATACAAATGTTTTTATAGAAAAGATTTGAGCATTCTCACATTTTGTTATCTATAAGATACTGAGGCACAACTATAATGTATTCACTTTTACAGCATCTTAATTTTCTTTGAAATGTTACTTTTCTTACAGAAACTTGAATAAATATATAACAAAATGGTTTGCAAATAATTTTGTTAAAAGGTAAAATAATTTTAAGGTAAAATAATTCTTTACAACTAAAAATGCACCCTACACATGTAAATTAATTTGGATTATTTTATTCCCAGTAAATAAAATTAATTTTAATTTTAATATTTGCCTGTATATTTTGTTGTTGTCAGGTGCCATCCAGTCAACTAGGAATCAGAAACCCTTTGAACGACAGATTTGAATCTTGCCCGATTCTGCACTGTCTTCCCAATCTCTGTTATGCTCAAGATCATGATTACCATCGTTGTGTCAGTTCCTCTTGGGAGTCTTCCTTTTTCTCTCTGCGCTTCCACCTTTCATTCTTCAAGATGTATTTGTTCTTTTGGTAGTCCACGGGATATTCAGTATTCTCCAACATTACAATTCAAAGACATCAATTCTTCTGTTACTGGTAGTCATTGCCCAGCTTTCTGATAGAAAAGAAGTAACTGAAAATACCATGCCTTAAATCAGTCATACCTTAGTCTTTAAAGTAATACTGTTGATCTGTAGCACTTTGGAAAAATCCTCAGCAACAAAAATACCAAATATAACATGCCTTTTGATTTCTTGATTATTGATACCATTAGTGTTGATTGTGGATCTAGGAAAGATGAAGTGAATCAAATATGTATGTGAATGATTGTACAAAATACAATGTATATGAATGAAACAATTTATATATTAATGATTATGTTTTTAAAAAATGAAAGAAATCTCTCTCCAGAAAGTCTCCTTAATAGATAGTAATACCTTTTTAATATATGCGAGATATTTATGTGATATGAAAATTTTTATTAGAGATCCATGATCGTTCTGCACAATGTCAACAATACTAGCGTGTGTCCACTGGAATTTTGTCACAAATTTAAGTGATAGTTTGCATTTTTCTTTTTTAATTTTTTTATTATTAATTTCAATGAAAATTTACAGAGACTTTGGATCTCCATTCATTCATTGTTGCCTTTTTCTCCCCTTCTAACCCTCCCCCCCATTACACTTCCCTCTTGGAAAAGTAAAAGAGTAATTCTTTATTGTTTTACAATCCCTCACCTATTAATTTCAATGAAAATTTACAGAGACTTTGGATCTCCATTCATTCATTGTTGCCCTTTTCTCCCCTTCTAACCCTCCACCCCAGTACACTTCCCTCTTGGAAAAGTAAAAGAATAATTCTTTATTGTTTTACAATCCCTCCCCCCAGGACCACTACATTATGCAGCATTCGTTCTGGACTCCTGTCATG